GGAACATATATTAGTTTGTTTAACTTTTATATTTTTTAAATGGGTGCATCATTCCCACTTAGTAAAAAGTATTCACATTCAAAGAGGTACAGTATTCTGTGGACAGCATCATGTCTGTCTGGGAGCACTGCTTTTCTTTATTCTTCTCCCCTCCCCTCCTTCTCTCTCCCTTCCCTTCCTTGCTCAAACTTCCGCTGTGCTGGGTGGACCTCTCTAGGGTTTCAGGGACAAATCAGAACTGATCCTTCTTCTGGAAGAGCCTCCAGTGGAGCCCACTAAGTTGACAAGCTTCCAAGGCCTGGGACAGAGTAACGGGAGGGTAGGAAGGAGGACAGCCCGTGGGCTGCAGCAGGAGCTCCAGAAAGGCGCTGCGGTCTGGATGGAAGCCCCACCTAGAGCGGCCCCCCACACGTCTAAGGCTGGATCTTTAGAAGAAGTAGCATTTGGCAGCACGAGGGGTGGGTAGAAAGTCTCATGAACAAACCATTAAATTAATGCTGTTTCCTTAACTGGATTTATTAGTGAGACCTGGGGTAAGCACACCTGTACCCTATTTCACATGTTCCCTGGAGTTCTGGAAGGCGAGCAATACGCCAGTCTGGCCACATGCCAAGAAGCTGTCTGGGGAAATTACTATAAAATTTTACTCACAAGGGATTACAGAATAAATATAATTCAGGGCAGAAATTTGATTCTTGCCTTCAAACTTAAAAAAAAAAGTTCCCTGTACCTCCCTAGATCATAGTGCCAATCACGCTGTTCTGTGCCTGCCTCCAAGTCAGGATGGGGAGGTCTGTCGAGAAATAGAAACTTTTCTTCTTTTCTGTCCCCATCCCGAGCCTCTGGCATGGAGCCTGGTATGTTACAGATGCTCAATAAATACTTGAAGTAGGGCAGATGAAAGGGAGGCAGTGGGGAAGAAGAGACAGAGGGAGAGGACCCCTGGATGAGACAAAGGAGTCACAGAATATTATGGGAAATCCAGGGCTTCGAGCCCTGGATCCTCTGGTGCAGGTTGGCTTTAGGAGACACTCCCTGCTTCCTCACAACTGCCTCGTGGTGCCCCATCACCAAGGTGTCTTGGGCTGACCTAGGGAAGCATTCTGATCTCTCCTGTGAATATGGAGTCTCAGGCCTGCCATTCTCCTTGCTGGAGACTGTCACTGAGGGAGGAGAGGTGAAGGTAAGACTCTACTTGAAATTCAACTAGTGCTGCATAAAGAATGATGCACATGAAAAATTGATCATGACACTGCACCCAGGCAAATATTATTAATAATGCAGTATTTAAACACACAATATATCTCTCTTAATGATGAAAAGAAACCCAAGGTCACAGCAAATAAAAGTCATTCCAATGAGACCAAAAGGAAGAGAGAGAATTTCTCCATGTGGATGCCTCCACAATAGCTTCCTTTATGCCACCACCTCACCCAGTGAGTAGCCTTTCTATCAAGAAAGAGAGCAGAGCCCTTCTCAAGAAAAGTGTTTGAAACCACTAGGCAGTTCCCAAAAAGAGCAGAACCCAGGAATACTAACCCTCTTTCTCTTAATCTCCTCATCTTTAAAACTGAGATTATAACACCTAAACAATAGGGCTGTTGTAAGGATTAGGTGATTTTTGTAATATGCCAAATTAAGTGCACAGTAATTCCCTATACATCTTAGTTCCTTTCCTTTAATCTATTTGACTGAAAGTCAAGTTATACAGAGAGCTAGTGAATTTTCAAAGGCTCCAGAGAGGTAGATATACAGGCGAAGTAAAGTGGACCCTTAGAATATGTCCTGAGCACAGTCTCCCTGCAGATCGCCAAGCTCACGCCACCTCCACGAGCAATCGAAGCCTCAGGCTTCTGCCATGATACCTGACACCACGTGGACCAGGAGCTGGGTTTTGTCCCATGTCTATTAGCAACTCAGTCCCTCTTTCTGAGCCTTGATTTCCTCATCTGCAAAATGAGAGGGCTTCTAGATGATCTTCCAGCCACCAAATTGCAACTCTGAGTATTTGTGATCATGTAGATAAGGTGAAAACTACTAAAAGCATTGGATTTGGAGGCTTCTGACAGGCCTGGGTTTAAATGCAGCTCCTCCACATACTTGTAGTAAGACCTTGGTCAAAGTACTAAACCTCTCCAAGCCCCAGATTCCTAAGTGATAAATGAGACAATAACAGTTCCTGCCTCGGATATGTATTTCAGCACTAAGGAATCCAAGATAACACTGCTAGTAGGCAGAGGGTGAAGAAAGCAAGCCCAGGCCTGTTTAATTTAAAAGATCATGCTCTTTCTACTCCAATATTGGAGAACATGGGCATAGGCAATTGTCCAGCATTCTCCTACTGAATGACAGAGGCAGGGGGGATTAACACTGCCTGTGGGAGAAAGCAGCAAGTTATTCTGAGATAGTTGGCAGTTAGACAGACAGGAGCAGAGTAGGAACGATAGGCTAGGTATGAAAGGTCACCAAGGCAGAAAGGCCTGAGTGCCTAGCAAAGGGCAAAACTGGGAAAACAAGCATAGTAGGGTGGCACCTCACCCCCATGGTGACCTTTCCTCCCCTAGCATATCAATGATCGTGTAGCTTAGACCCCCTGACCTTTCATATTGCTGGTCATGCAGTTTGGACCCTTCCCTGACCTCTTTTCCCCTGGCATGTCACTAGTCATGTGGTAGAGCCCCCTTAGAGGAGGAACAAGGAGACCAGAGAATAGCTTCATAGGACTCCCATAAAAGCCCTTGCATGACCTCACCCTTAAGCATTAAGCCCCCAGGACAATGAGGTTCTGACCCAAGTCAAATAATCTTAGGAACAAAGCCTCAGGTCTGTTGACCACAGAGATAGAGCTTTGGTCAAACTAGAGATAACATTTAGGCCTCAGTTGTGTTTCAGCTCCAGGCCTAGATTCCAGTCCTAGACCAGCAACACCAGACCACGCAACACCATGGCTGACATCAGGACCAGCTGCAATGACTAATGACCTCCTGACCTGGCCCTGACCAATCAGTGGAGACCCCGCCCTGAAAACACACCTGGAAAGCAGATGAATATGCTATTGAGATCCTCCCCTGAGACCTCCCCTAAAATACCCACATTTGCAAAACAGATAAAACCCCTTAAGACTAAGGACACAGTCTGTGCGAGCGAGCTCCATCCCT